AGGTATTATATAAAACATTTATTAATGGGATCCATACAGTTTTTCACATTGAGAAAGGTTTCTCAGGTATCTCAAGTTTGAGGACCATTAGTCTAGAGCAGGGGTGTCAAACTCAATTTCATTGAGGGCCACATCAGCATTGCGGTTGCCCTTGGGGGGGCGGTGGGTGTGGCCAGGGTGGGTGCGGACTACTGGGTGGACGTGGATGGAGTGGGTGTGGCCTACTGGATGGGCATGGCCAGCTCTACATCGTTCGTGTCAAGGGTGCCTGTGGGGACCTGGGAAGGAGTGGGACAGATCTGAGGGTCTCTGGCAGAAGATTGTGGGACCGGGGCAAACGCCAAGGCGATGGTGCATTTCTTCATTCCTCACAAAGGGTGACACCTCCCCAGCATGCACCCAGGGGGTGGGGCCAACACAGCAGGGGCTGGTTCCTCGCTGTTTTCAGACGGCCTTGTGGAGCTAAGACTGAATGCATTTCAGCATAGAGGGCCACCACAAAATTGTACATTGGCTCCCAGCCAGCCTGGGCCAGGGCCAAGGCAGAGGGGGCCGTTCCCTCACTGTTTCCAGGATGGCTTCGCGGGCCACATGAAACCACTTCGCGGGTCGTATGCGGCCCCCAGGCCTTGTGTTTGACATGTCTGGTCTAGAGGAAATGCACATAGAGACAGACACGTGTACACACACACAAACAAACACACATATACACATATGCAAACACACACACACACACACACACACATATATCTATGTATTTTTCAGATTCGAAGCTGGGACCAGCTGAAGCCTGGACATCTCGACAGGCTTTACAGGACTTATACCAGAAAATGTTAGTAACAGATTTGGAGTATGCATTGGATAAAAAAGTGGAACAGGATCTGTAAGTATAAATAAGTGTGGATTACATTTTTTTAAAAAGATGCCAATAGTCCTTGACTTAACAACCATTCGCTTAACTAAGTTACAATGGCCTTGGGTTTACAACCTGTACTTGTGTTTACAATTATCACACCATCCCCCACAGTCACATGGTCGCAATTCAGGCACTTGGCAGCTGCCTTACATTTATGACCAGTTGCAGCATTCTGCAGTCACGTAGTCCCAATTTGCGATCTTTTTTGCCAGTTTCTGGCAAAAAAAAGCCCATTGAAGAACTGGGGTTCATTTAATGACTACCATAAAAATTGTCATTAAATCCAGTCCAACTTGCAATAACTTACAACCAAAATTCTGGTCCCAGTTGTGATAAGTCCAGGACTATCTGTATATTCTCTTTTTTTTAACTGAGCAAGATCTGTGGAGACTGGAAAATTATTTTGAAAACTTGGATTTTAGCTGAAACTTCCGATTCTTTTTTCCTACACTGCAAGTGGTTGGTGGTAATATAAGAGAGATAATATAATAGCGATTTGGCTGATTTCAAGCACATATTAAGTCCCAATTTAAAAAAGGATAAGCTTTGTCGTTCAGCTTACAGACTTATAAAAAAAGAAAGAGGAGAAGGAAAACAGAAAGTTGGGAAACCATTCATTCAAGCCAAAGCCTTGGATGAATTTATATCCAGTTTAACCTTGGCTAATTTGCACTTCCTGTAGGTACTAAATATTAGCTGACAGTTTTTCACATCCCTGCCCAGTATCTGTGTCCAGAATGCATAGCCTTTCAATTCCAAGGCATTTGCTGCATCACAAGTGTAGTGTTCTACTTTGCAGAGAAGGAAGAAAGAAACTCCCTGCATTTGTAGACAGACAGGTACATTTTCCCCGTGTCACAATGTGCTTTTTGAGAGAGAAGTCATCCTTTCACTGGGCTTTTTTCTACTGAGCAATCTGGGTTTTTTTGATCCATACCAAAAAAGGGTAATACTCTCAATTCTTATTTCTTATTGTCAAGCTTTCTGACAGTCCTCATTGCCATGAATATTTTTGGTCAGTGCTGATGTTTGACATAAGTGTCAACAAGTGAAGAGAAGGGTTATGTAGATACACGGTCATAACATAAAGATAATATTTGTGGTACTCTAGAAGCTTCATTGAAACAGCACTCCCCTGTTCCCTTCTCCTTCAACAGGGTATCATTCAGTGTGCCAGTTTTTATGTAACATGGAATAATGAAAGGTTCTCCTTTTTTTAGATGGAATCATGCCTTTAAGAATCAGATCACAACTTTACAGGGTCAAGCAAAAAACCGATCAAATCCAAATCGGAGTGAAGTTCAAGCAAACCTCTCTCTATTCCTAGAAGCAGCTAGTGGCTTCTATACGCAGGTGAGTCAAGGTGACCACGATGTGGAAACTGTATTGTTGCTCAATGATATGAAATTTTATTTATTAAAATGTATTGGCTGCTCAATTACTGTAGCCTGGGCTGTGCACAAAACTAAAAAAAGAGATTAAAAATAGCTAAAGATGTTAAATCAACAGGCAGCCTGAATTAAAATATTCTAATAACAAAATCCACAAAACAAAACTGGGGCCGTTAAACAAATAACAGACATCAACTCCAGACTTGGAGGACTGTAGGAGAGAGGGCACAATGAGTACTGCAAATTTATTTTCCCATTAGAAAAGGCAAGAGATGTCTCCACAACATTTAACCATAAAGACTTTAGGAAAGTATACAGATACTCCAAATAACTATTCTGTCCTCCCTTCCTTTCCCCTTTGTCTAATTTTAATTTACATTCTGTACCAGCCTAGCCATTGCATCTGATGAAGTGAGCTGTAGCTTGCAAAAACCTTTAATAAAATTTGTTAGTTGGAAAACAATTATTGATTTACAGTACTTAAACTGTAGATTAGTATTTACAAGAGATAGACTTTTCATAATATATCTCTTATGTTTTCTTTGTTCCTGTTTGCTTGCACCTATGTTAATATTTATGAAATTATCTTCCCAAAAAACACCAAAAATTGTAGGGATTCTGAAATAACAAAGAATTGCAAATTAATTAAAGTTATACTTAGCTTTGATTTAAAAAAAATAAGATATCAGTTATAACTGATATCTTAAGGCCACATAATAGACTCCATTGTTCTTTAGTCTGAAGGAATCTGATTTTATATATTGTATTTTTGTAGCTTCATACCAGAGGCTTAGATAGAATCATAAACAATGGAGTCATTAGGCTGGTCCAAATAATGTAGTAAACTATGAACTGTTGTAGAACCCAACTATGCATTTCAAGCTCACCAATAAAACTCTTATCTCTCTCTACTTCACATTTTCAAACAGATGCAAAAAAGTTAGATAGTTTTATGAAGAAGTTCTATATATAGCAGCATGTAGGAAATCTGCCATATGTGAGTCTCATGGTTACAATCTTGAGTGTCTCCCCATGTTTTAAGTTACCAGATTTTGAGTTGTGCTTTTCTAGGTCTCAGAGTTCTTTGCTATCTTTTTATGATAGTTTTCTCGGTATGAGAATCAGGCTGTCACCCCACCCACTCTTAAAATGTTATGTGTAAGCCATGCATGTTATTTTTCTTGGTGTTTTATGCTAATCAAGCCTTTCTGGTTTAATTTTAAGAAATTAAAATAAGAATGGCCTGAGATAGATAGATAGATAGATAGACAGACAGACAGACAGACAGACAGACAGACAGACAGACAGACAGACAGACAGACAGATTCATTCAGTCCCTAGTTTTAAAAGTTTATATAGAAAAAAACCAACACCGATAACCAAATATGATGGCTATATGTTACCTTCAAGATAAGAATATCAGTGTCTGAAATAAGAGTACATATGTCTGAAATGCTAATTTTTAGAAAATTATAAAAATGGAGATAGCAATCCTGTTTTGAGATTTTTCTCTGGTATTAATTTGGCTGCTTTGGAAAATGGAATGATGAACTAGAACTCTCTATCTACCTACCTATCTACCAATACTAGTTTGGTATAGTAGTTAAAGAAACCAGGCTAGAAACCTAGGAGATCATGAATCCTAGTCCTGCTTTAGTCCTGAATCCATCTTAGATCAATCACTTTCTCCCACATCCCAAAGAGGAAGGACAGTGGCAAACCATTTCTAAAAACCTTGTTAAGAAAATTCTAGGGATTTGTCCAGGTAGTTGCCAGGAATCAAGATTGGTACTTAAATTATTTTAAAACAAATCAGACCATGGGTCTCTCTTTTACCTCATTTATTCTCAGTTAATAACAGCTCTTTACAATCTCTAAAGTCATTATCATCTCTATGTTGTAATATTTTTTGACCACTGAATATTGGGACTTTTTTTAACCAGTGAGTTCAAAACTTCCCATCTTAAGAACAAATAAAACAAGAATGGTAAAATGGTTTATTTTTCTATTAAATTTTCTTGAATTTAATAGAAATATAAAGTGATTACGATGGAGAATAACAAAGAGAAATGTTTAACTAAGCTTCAGTAGAGAATCTGAAATGTAGATATAATTGATAATTCCTAATTTCAGCTACTGCAGGAGCTGTGCACGGTATTTAATGTGGATTTGCCCTGCCGTGTGAAGTCCTCTCAGTTGGGAATTATCAGCAATAAACAGACGCACACCAGCGCCATAGTGAAGCCACAATCTAGCTCCTGCTCATATATATGCCAGCACTGCCTTGTCCACCTTGGAGACATCGGTAAGTATCAGAAGTAGGAAAAGTTATTTTTAAAGCTTATCTTCAGAGTGTTGAAAAATATCCAAATGGTAGAGTCTCAAGGAGGGATGGAAAAAGTAGACACATCAATCTCTGAAGACAATACAAGACTACATATTCTATAGTGTCTTGAAGATGCCACATTTAAGTGACACTGGCCTTGTGAAATTGCAGTACAAACAGGACATTTGGATTGTAGATTGTAGAAATCTTTAAAGTGATGGTCACCTGTGCAGTTTTCTAACTCTGGTTACTAATTAGTTTTTCAATCTTTCTTAGACAACAAAATATTTAGCATCTAATGGAATGACATGTCAAGGGGTAATTATGTCATGAAGATAGAGGGTAAGCGCATGAACCAGAGAGTAGGAGCAGATCAAAGTCCAGCATCCTGTCCCTTACCGTAGCCAGCCAGATTCCTTTTACTACTCTCGAGCAGGAGAAAGTAATAATAATCCCAGTTTGTGCCTTCATCGATAGTTGTCATAGCTTAGCAATTTTGTCACAGTCGACTATGTAAAACTCAAAACAATATATTTGGAAGATCGCTAATCTTACACGAACCACTATGTATTGTGCACAAAACAAGTTATTTTAGCAATTGGGTGTATAGCTCATTGACTAGTAAACTAGTATTCTGTTTAAAATAAAACCATCTCTTCCCAGCTCGCTACAGAAATCAGACCAGCCAGGCTGAATCCTATTATAGGCATGCAGCTCAGCTTGTCCCCTCCAATGGTGAGTTTTGAAAGTGTAATACACGTGGTTGAATAACTTCTGTTAACAGCAGACGAGGTTTCTTTTTATTTAGGATACCAGTTTTAAGTACTTAAAATTCCACAGTCATTGCAAGGAAAGAAGGAAAACAGAGCAATCTTTCTAAAACCAGCATAATCACTGCTGAGGATTGTATATCAGAAGTAGCCCTGTTTCAACAGAACCTTACAGGGTGCTTATTAATGTTTTTTTCTATAGGTAGTTGTGCTGGACCAGTGTAACTCTGGCCAGAGCATATTTAGCTTAAGGAGACATGGTTAACCCTTTAAATCAGGGGTAGTCAACCTTGCTCTTTTATGACTCGTGGACTTCAACTCCCAGAATTCCTGAGCCAGCCATGCTTAGGGGAAAGGGAGAGGTTTCCAAGCTGAGCCATGCTGGCTCAGGAATTCTGGGAGTTGAAGTCCACGAGTCATAAAAGAGCCAAGGTTCCCCACCCCTGCTTTAAATGCTAAATGCGCATTTAGGATTTAAAGGGTTACACTGTCTTCTTAAGCTAAATATGCTCTGGCCAGAGTTACACTAGTTCAGCACAGTAGTCCTCAACTTACAACAGTTCATTTAGTGGCCATTCAGTTACAACGGCACTGAGAAAAGTGACTTACGACCATTTTGCACTGTTACAACCTTTGCAGCATCCCCGTGATCAAAATTCAGATGCTTGGCAACTGGTTCATACTTATGACCATTGCTGTGTCCCAAGGTCCTGCGATCCTCTTTTGCAACCTTTTGAAGGAAGTCAGATTCACTTAAAAAGCAAGTTACTAACTTATCAACTGCAGCAATTCACTTAACAACTCTGGCAAGAAAGGTGGCAAAATGGGTCAAAGCTCACTGTACAAATGTCTCATTAAGAACAGATATTTTGGATTCAGTTGTGGTTGTAAGTTGAGAACTACTTGTATTGCATATCTGACTGGAAAAGCTTTTTCAGACCTATCTTGTATTTTTTTAAATGTACATACCTTTTGTCTTATAAAAGAGAATTGTGTAAATGAATTATTGTGCTGTAAATTGAAGTTGTTCATATTTTTCAGCATTTAATTCAGAAAGTTCTGAATTCACGTGGGAATTGCAGATCAATAGCAATATGTGGACCAGGAGTTGGGGACTCCTAGTTTAGAATATAACAAGGACATTGGATTGCGCCTATAAAGCAAAACTGGAACTCAAGAACAAACCTTTTGTTTATCTTATTTAGGTCAGCCTTATAATCAGCTGGCTATTTTAGCATCCTCCAAAGGAGATCACCTGACCACAATTTTCTACTACTGCAGAAGCATTGCTGTGAAATTCCCTTTCCCAGCTGCTTCTACTAACCTACAAAAAGCACTTTCTAAAGCACTGGAAAGGTAAGGCTGAATGGATATATTTCAGAAAGGAAGGCATTCATGTATCATTGGACTTCGCTGTACAAATACCATTTTAGTCCAGGAACATCTGGGGATCATAAGTTCATGTATGCAAAGTATTAGCCATGTATAAGATTTAAAGTGTATATAGAGTCACCTTAGGCTTATAGATTGATTGTCCAAAGTGCAGCGTCAGTATATTCTCAAAAAAGTTGCAAGCAAATAATTTCCTGTCTTTTTATCCAGTACTAGTCTGATTGTAAATGAATTCCTAATTGTAAATACTGCATATAAATTAGATTATAATTTTATTTATGAGATGGAGCAGTCCTTGAATCAGTGGGTGGATGGATAGATTGATTTTCCTAACAGCTGGCTGTATCAAAACTGTACACCAGTGCAGTCTTGAGCTTCTATTATTAACATGGCTCTTTGCTTTGCTTTGTTTAATTGCGTTTTAGTGGATGATATGGTTTCCAAAGCAATTCTGTCTAGCTGCTAACTCTTTTACTAAATATTATTTCTCCAGTTCAACCCATAATTATTTTCTTAAATAAAGTCCATTAATAAATATGTATTTTATGCAGTAAATGTTTACAAAGTACATGTGTAATATAAAAGTTTGATATGTGTGCTTCCAAGACTAAAATACAATTTTTGTCTTATAATTGCAGTCGTGATGAGGTGAAAACTCAGTGGGGAATATCTGATTTCATTAAGACATTTATAAAATTCCATGGCCATGTATATCTGAGTAAGAATTTGGAGAAATTGAATCCTCTTCGTGAGAAATTAGAAGAGCAATTCAAGGTTAGTTTATGGAATACTTCCAGCTTTTCCTGCTGAACTAACATCCACATGAGATTGATTTAATTGATTTATTGATGCAACAATCCTTGGAAGCTCCTTCTAATCCATTTAAACATGTACAGGTAGTCCTTGATTTACAACAGTTCATTTAGCGACTGTTCGAAGTTACAACTGCACTGAAAAAAGTGATTTATGACCATTTTCACACTTGCAGCATCCCCATGGTCACGTGATTTATATTTGGATGCTTGACAACTGGTTCATATTTATGACAGTTGCAGAGTCCATGGGTCATGTGATCAACTTTTGCGACCTTCTGACCAGCAAAGTCAATGGGGAAAATAGATTCACTTAACAACCACATTACTAATTTAACAATTACAGTGATTTACTTAACAAATATGGCAAGAAAAGCCGTAAAATGGGGCAAAACGTACTTAACAAATTTCTCACTTAACAACATAAATTCTGGACTCAATTGTGGTCGTAAGTCGAGGACTACCTGTAGTAGAAATGCTGCATTTCTGTTCTTTATTGGCTTAAGAAAGCGGACAACCGTTACGATATCATATCCTTTTCTTGCAAGATGCCCCAATGATAGTGCGCTGTAATACTTACATACTTACACATTTGGCATTAAAATCATTATGTTTCCATCTGTAACTCCTACTTGAAATCCTGGGTCTTAAAAAGCATAGTTGCAATTCATTTTGCTGCTTGTGTTTTTGCTCTTTACACTTCAAACAACAGACTAATAGCATGCTGATTTTAACATTTTAATAAAAACACTGGAAGTTTTTAAGAAGAGACTGGACAGCCATTTGTCCAAAATGGTGTAGGGTTTCCTGGCTGAGCAGGGAGTTGGACTAGATGGCCTCCAAGGTCCCTTCCAACTTTATTATTATTATTATTATTATGAAGGGATTAAATTTATATTGATAGATGTATATAAAAAGAGAGAAGAGGATAAAGAGGGACAGGCAGACAGAATTGTTTTTGCAAATAATTTTTGTTGCAAAGTTGTTTGAATCTGTAATTTGAATTTCTACCTAGACTGCTTAGATAGGTGGATTCCTATCAGTGATTCTGTGTATTCCTATCCAGCAGCAATTGATAGACAAAAGGCAGTAATGCAATGGTCTCTCCAGGGATAGCATTTTCGCCTACATAAGTGAATTGTCATTCAGCGATAAAATGAAGAATTAAAAGAATTGAAGACCATCAAGGGGACTTAAGTAAATCTGAGACAATTTTTGTATATAGCTATTTGTATATGCACAGTTTCATATGGTTTTACATACATTGCCAGGCTGGAGGTAATTGAGTGTTAATTAGTCTACAGCAGTATATTAGATGGTCTGTAATAGCTCCCAGTCAGATTGAGCAATTAAGCATGTATATTTTTGAAAGGTTGCTTTATGTGTTTTTTTTTTAATTTCAGAGGTTGCTGTTCCAAAAAACCTTCAATTCTCAACAGCTTGTCCATATTGCTGTCATCAACCTGTTTCAGTTGCACCATTTACGGGATTTTAGCAATGAAACTGAACAGCATAGTTACAGTCAGGATGAACAGCTCTGCTGGACACAATTACTGGCACTCTTCAGTAAGTTATACAGTTGACAGAGTATTTTTGCACAGCTATTGGCTAGATTGCTTTTTAACCAAGTCTGTTGTATCCTGGAATGAGATTATAATCTCCGGAGTGGGTTCAACACTGCATAGGCTGATTGTGCAGTGAGAAGAAGCAGTTGCTTGTGATGCCAGTGCTGTTCTTGAATTGCATTACTGCGGCATGATCTTATAGCCAGGTCTCACAGTTACTACTTCTGGAGGAGAAATTGTGAATTAGTTGGGTTCTTATTGATTAATTATGAATAAATTGATTACGTTTGCTAAACCTTATGACTCCTTTATTTCCATTTAATCATTGATTTAATCCCCACCTTCCTGTTGTATCCTCGTATTTCCTTTGGCATGTTGAAAGAAGAATATCTGCATCTGGGGGGGGGGGGTGTTTTAAGGTATAGGCTATCTGTACCATATAGAATCCTGACATTAAAAGATCCTAAACTATATAATTTCCTCCTATAATTTTTTTTAGCACATAGAAAAATTATAAGGAAGTGGTGGAGCCACACTGACCATATTCCCATATTATTACTTCATATTTTGCATATATTTAAATGCTAAAACAGAGATAATGAAGGTAGTCTTTCTATTTAGAATTGGTTGCTTAATGACCATTCAAAATTATGCTGGACTGAAAGTCACAACTCAGTCAAAGTTATGACTACTGTGCTGCACTATCACATGATCACATTTTAGGCACTTGGCAACTGCCTCACATTTACAACTGGTTGCAGCATCCAGTGGTCACTTGGAAGCGTATTGTGATTTATTTGCTGTTTTCTAGCAAAAAACACCCTGTGGATTAGCTGGATTCAGACTTATGACATGTGATTTGCTTAACAGAAATGGTGACTTGCTTAATGACCATCATAAAAATGGTCATGAAATTGATTCTGGTTACTTGGTGACTTGACTTACAACCCCAATGACAGAAAACCAAAATTCTGGGCTCAGTTGTGATCTTAAGTTGATTACCCATATATCACTGTTTGCTCTGTTGGTAAGATCCTGTGCTCAACTTTTGCAATCATATGGTCAACTTTAGCATTTGTTAAGACTCAGTAGAGAACAATTTTTTCTCATGTTTTATATTAATAGTTTTATAAAAAATATTAGACATTATGAGTATCCATTATATATACTTCTTTCTTTTTTTCATTTTATCCAGTGTTATTAATTTTTTCCTGTCTTGTTTGTGTTTTTATTATTTTTGTTCCTATTTTTTAATATGCATTTTGTATTTTATCTTTTGAAATCAGTAAAAAATTCAAAAAAATATATTAAAACTGATGATCAGCAAGAAACCATTGTTACTGCTTGAATTGATAACCATTTTATCAGTATAGCGCTCAAAGTAATTAACTAAAAACACACACTGTACTTTTGTTTTCCTCAGTGTCTTTTCTTGGAATTTTGTGCAAGTGTCCACTTCAGAATGATTACCAAGAAGAATCTTGGGGTTCTTATCCCCTTCCTGCGCTCAAAGTGTCAATGGACTGGCTGAAACTTAGACCCAGTGTTTTTCAGGAGGCTGTGGTTGATGAAAGGCAATAGTAAGTCTTGTCTGCCTGTGTTTTTCCATTTTTTCTTTAGTTTAGATGAAGTAAATTAGTAATGAATAATCTAAATTTCTCCTGATATAAATACAACGAGCTTGTTTGTGGTTCAAGTTTTTATTAGTTTATCAGAATATAAAATACAGAGGAAAATAAAAAATAATGGGGAACTAGGGAAGGAAAAAGGGATAAAGAGAAAGTGTGGGGTAGGAGGAGAAAAAGAAAAATAGCATTGTCTTCTGACTCTTTTTGGTACAGTAGAAGATAGTAACATTACAGCCTCAACTTTTTACTTTTACTCAGTAGTATACACTACCCATTTCTATAACAGCAAACCTATCTAATCAGCAACACAAAGTTTCATTTTTTTCCACCTCAAGCACAAAATCCAGAAGCGATTGCCAAATAGGAATAAAATTAAATACACTCTTTTTTAAAAAAATAAAGCAATCAATTTAAACATCTCTGCTTTTTTTTTCTTTCCTACAATGAACTTTGAACTGAAAATTTGTAGACTTCATCTTGTTTTAGCTGTGAATTTTCTAGTGATAGTCTAGAAAATAAAATGTGTTCTACTATTTCACACAATCTTCAGTAGCCACTTTTTTCTTCTGTAACTCTGATCACAATTTGAAAAGGAAGAAATGGCTAATTTTCTGAAAGTACTATTAGCAATTCCTTGATTTGATCCCAGATTGGAGGATGAATAGCTTCAAACTAAAGTCACATAATTCTTAGTCACAAATGCGTAATGATTTAATGAATGAAATATGTTGTCACTTTTGCCCAAAAGTTTATTTTTATTTTTTCATTTATATCCCAGTTGTCCATGTTAATGGGATTCCAAGTTTTATAAATGGAATTTCCTAGCAGTCTTTCATTCGGGCAGTTAGCAATTCCACGCCTATTAACAGGTGTCTAGAGATGATGGCACCAGATTTGTTCTGCAAACTTATATATGATGAGGAAGCAGGATAAATCTTGTGAATGCCCTATTTGGGAAACAACATGGTTTATACCTATTAAACTAGCTCCAGTATATGTATTAGGACAAGTGAGACACAAATGAGGTAGGTAATATGGTCTTCCCTGTACTTGATTATAATAATTTATATAAATAATATGACAGTATGGGAGACCTTCTTTCATTAATATTAATGTGCCACTTTTACTTCCAAAGGATTCTAAGTGAGGCATGACAAACATAAATATAATACTGCTACATCCAACCATAAAGCTAAAATGAAAAGACACGCACAACACTCAGGATTTCAGATGTTAAAAGTCGATAATCAGGTTCCCTTTGATGAGGTTGATAGTGATGACGACGAATAAATGTTTTTACTTGAAATCTGAACTCTTCTGTCATTTGGGTGAATTGCATTTCCCCAGNGCATGACAAACATAAATATAATACTGCTACATCCAACCATAAAGCTAAAATGAAAAGACACGCACAACACTCAGGATTTCAGATGTTAAAAGTCGATAATCAGGTTCCCTTTGATGAGGTTGATAGTGATGACGACGAATAAATGTTTTTACTTGAAATCTGAACTCTTCTGTCATTTGGGTGAATTGCATTTCCCCAGGGAACAAACTTCGTAGTCAAAATTTCTTCATTAAAATAATTGTGGATAGTTATGCTGTCAGTTATTTCCACTTGTGAAATCAGTTATATCCATAGCTTATCTCTAAAGCGTGCATCAGTCTTTTAAGTATGCAAGTGTTTGTGTTGTAATAATGTCATCATAGCTGGATTTCAGTTACATAGCCTCTCAAGATATCTAGGCTGGCTGTACCTCATTACCTAGTGCCAGATATTGAAATAGATAAAAATAAAGCAAATTAATAAAGATCAGATGATAATACTCAGTCATAGTTACCATATAATTCTAAAACTGAGCTGAAGATGATGTATCCCTCTAAGTGGCATTTTGCAGTAGAGTTATAGTTTGAGATCTACATAGAGCACAAATTATTTTCCACTCAATAGCTGTTTAAGCTGTTTTACAATAGAGGAATGTAAAGCAAATATAAAGACTGTAAATCAGTGAAATCTGGAATCAAAGAAGGATATAAACAATGGGTGTTAGTAGTGCATTTCTGATTGTAAAGGGTAAAATAAAGACATGAGAGCATGTTCTTTTATTTTCCTGTCATGTGACAAGTTACCTGTCATGTGACAAGTTATCCTTTCCTCTTTCTGGGCAGATTTAAAGAGGAAAATGAAATAAGGTTTGTCAGTTATGGCATAAGTCAGAAATAAACTCTTATTTTGCGACTTTAAAAAATGGGCACTTTTTATTAAGCCTGGAAGAATCCTTTGCCATTAAAAATCTAGACATTATACATAGTTTTTGAATAATTTATTTTCATATATACATCAGTTTATATACTCCATCCTTCAAGGTACACCAAACATAAAACCACATACTTTAAACAAAATTGTAAACAAAATTGTAAATTGTAAATTAAAACAAATATCTAGCCAACAGCAAAATCTGTCAAAATGGTGGCCTGGCATCACTGTTATCTATCAAATATTTGCTGGAATAAAATTGTCTTCATAGCCTTCCAGAAACTAAAGGGTTGGGGACTCTGTATACTTTGAGGTATATTGTTCTTCAGAATGGGACAGCCACCAAGAAGTTTTACCTTTTTGTTCCACTCTCTTCACTTAACATTGAGTGGGGACACTCAGCATCCACATTTCAAAAAATGCACAAGACTGGCTGAATCCAAGCAAGAGAGAAAATGGGACTTAAAGCCATGTAAGACTTTTTAGGTTAGTTAAAGCTAATGGAGAAAATTATGTAAAAGGTAAAAGTCCCTCTGGATCATAAATATACTATAGCACTCTGTCCCCACAAGGATGGACCAAATACTTGTGAGAAGGCTTCGGGTTAGACATGGAGTCAATAGCTATGTGTCTGAGCTTTGTAGGTCTAAGAGATTGTGCCCAGTAATGAAAATGTCAGAGCTTCTGTCAGTATTCCTTAGAAACTGACTTAAAAGAGTCTACTGAAAGGAACAACTAAGGAATTTCCCAAAATGGGATAGACAGGCATCCTACAATTCTTCATCCATTTGTGTTGTATAGAGGAAAAACCAAGTAGCTACTTCAGGATTGAAATAAAATACGATTACAAGGCATTGTTTTATGGTGGCATTAAGCAATAGAATAATGTGTGACTGTGTTATTTAAATGATGCTGTAGACATACCAGGGGAAAATTGTACTGAAAATACAGCAAGATAGTTACTGGAATTTTCAGAAAAGGATCTTGGATAGAATTAATTTTTGTAGATTATGTCAGAAGAGATCTGATAAGAAATGGGGCTTTTGATGCAGTAAGGACCAGGTATGCAATGGAAGAGGCAATAGTGAGTGTGCCGTGTGTTAAAGTGTTAAGTATAAAATTCTTCTTGCTTTGCAGTGTTTGGCCTTGGCTGATTTCTCTTCTAAACAGTTTTCAGCCTCATGAGGAAGACCTTTCCTGCCCTAATGGTAAGAACATTCCCTTATGACAGTCTGAGAAAGAGAAGAGCAGGGTGAAGTCAAGAACAATGTAATAGGAAAACACTGAGGAGCTTGTGTATAAGTTTAAGTTAAATCGAAACTATTTTAGCTCATGTTGACTTCATTGATTCTGAGAAGTACCTTCTAAGTCAGTGTTTCTCAACCTTGACAATTTTAAGGCATGTGGACTTCAACTCCCAGAATTCCACAGCCAGCATTGCTGGCTGTGGAATTCTGGGAGTTGAAGTCCACATGCCTTAAAATTGTCAAGGTTGAGAAACACTGTTCTAAGTACTCATTAAATTGTGTAGATTCTATTCTATGCCCTCAGCCGGCAACACTTTATTTTCCCAAGCTGCTCTTCAGTGCCATTGATGGTACAGTTTGTTTACAGTTTTATATTTATATATCACCAGTTGTAAAAAAATCATATGGGTTGCAACAGTCAATCAAATTATTGGTAGCGCAGAGAAATAAGACCACAAGAAGGGATCCAAATGAGACCAACCCCCTAAAAAAGTCAAAATCAGCAGATGAAAATAAATGATAATAGGAATATTCATCGATGTGACAAATATAGACTTTTTCAGAATGGTTACTGAAGCTGGAGAACATTCTGTGCAATCTTAATTATGAATTTCCTTATTAATTTTACTTTCAGGCAGAATTACATTTGTTCTCTTTTGAATTAAAATTTTAATACATTCTAACTACAGGTGGTTCTCAATTTATGGCCGGCCATTTTACACTATTCAAAATTAAGATGGCTTTGGGACAGGTGCTGTACAGGCACCATATAATGTCACAGCTACCTGCGGTCACATGACCGCAATTCGGGCTTTTGGCAACTGGCTCATCTTTACGACTGACTGCAGCATCCTGCAGGCACACGATTGTAATTTGCAACATTTTTTGCCAGTTTTGGAAGAATAGTTTTGCTTAATGATTTCGTGATTTGCTTTAACAACTATGGTGATTCATTTAATGACTGCTGCAAAAAATGTTTTAAAAAAAGGGCCCTGTCGTATCAGTTCCTTGATTTACAACCACCAACAACTTATGACTGGATTTCCGGTTCCAATTGTAGTTGCAAGTTGAGGACTACTTTACAACCACAACTGGGACAAGGACATCTAGCACTAAGCTGTTCACTTATAAAGGGCAAGCTGATATGACTGCTTCGCTTAGCAAGGGCACTCCCCGTTGCCATCATTAAACAAATTCCACCAACTGTGAGCCAAGGACCCACCCTAAGCCATGCCATTCCAGGCTTGGTCCCTCCCAGCCCAGAGCCTCGGTAAAGTAAGGAACTGCTTCCTCTTCAATTCCCCCTTCCCTCTTATCACCCCCTATCACCCCATCTCTGCCCTACTGCCTGTGCTGCACCCTGTCTGGCGAGGTGGCAAGCAACCCTACGTGGCTCTGGAACTGCTTGCCCTGTAAGAAGCCCTTGAGCCACAGCAAAAATCCCCCGGAAGCCCCATCAGCATAAGGGGCAGCCTCAGTGTGGCACAAAGCCACAACTGTCCTGGAAGCTCCAACTGCCTATAGAAGCCCTAAAAGCATGGCAGCGCAGTTGAGTAGCATGGCACGAAGCCGCAGCCCAGTTGCACGGTGCAAAGCCAGCAGTGCAGGGCAAAGCCTTTGTCACCCCACGAAGCCCCAGTTGTCTCAACTCAGCCACATTCATTGCCCTGCACTCCTAGACCTACAGTATGTTGCCCTGAGCATGGTCAACCATCCCAGTTGACCTTCACTGCTATCTTGCTCCTACTGCTCTGAGGCGTGCCCACCTTGGTCTTTGCAAGGCAGCTGCTGATCACATGAGGTCATCTTGCCCAGATCTTCTGTTTGCAATCTGGGGAAAAAAGTTTTATGCAGCCATCATCTGCCTCAGAAGGGCCATGCTAGGCATGCTTGGTCAGCACCGGGAGCAAGAAGACGGCAGTCAACTAGGGTGACAGGAACCACAGAGTATAGGGTGTCTAAAAGGCATATATAGGGGGGAAAATAAGTAAAGGGGGAGTTGAAACATCCCTGCAGTCGTAAGTGTAGGCAGACTACCAAGTGCCTGAATTTTGATCATGAAGGCACTGCAATGTCTGTAACTTTGGGAACCAGTTGTAAGTCCATTTGGTACTGCTGTGACTTCAAATAGTGGCTGAACATATGGTTATAAATTGAGAACTACCTGTAACTTAAAAAGCACTTGATATTTATTGGATCGGATCTTTGCTTACTAATGAAAAGGAGACTTGAATACAGATGTGCATATTTCTTTGCTTCATTCACTAGCCACTCCTCTTCCAGAAGAGTTTGAGCTGCAAGGATTCTTAGCTCTGAGACCCTCGTTCAGGTGAGTGATTATTATAGATAGATGATACTTATCAGTGTTACTCAAACAGTGTTAATATCTACTGTTTTCTAAGCTCTTTGTAATTATTGCCACGCTACAAAATTTCATATATCTTCACTATATTCTGTAATACATTATTATAGAATCATTGGGATTAAAATTCCAATTCTGGTTTCCTTAAATTTCTGTTTAATTTTTGTGTATTTAAAGTTTAATCTCTTTGGAAACCTTTAGAGAAAGTGGTGTGAGGGGAAAAATAGGTAATCTATTCTTGTTTTTTCACTGAAGTAGGATTTCTGCTTTCTAACATGATAGATCTTTTGGTCTAATACTATACAAGATAACTGTTAACTGCTATAGATTAATTTCCCTGGATAAACCCGGGGGGGGGGGAAACTTGGCAGATCTGAGTCTATAAACATATGCAGAGTACTTTTCTATTCTGAAATTGATTCTGGTACTATTTGCTTTTATATTTGGGTGTTATGGTGAAAAATTACTTGAAGAACAATTTCAGCAAGGATGATAAGGCATGATACAAAATACATAAACATGTTGTGTGACTACTATAAAATGGGACTCTTTCTCTCCCGGCCACCTGCAAATTCTGTGTAATTACTTTCTTGCTTAAAGGGAAACTTTAGATAACTAATTGGAGCACTACGTGTTACATCTGCATGCATCCCTCTTGCTCCTGATTCATAATCCGAACATGCCATTTTTATTTTTGTCAACAATCAGGAACTTGGATTTCTCTAAAGGCCATCAGGGAATTACAGGAGACAAAGAAGGGCAGCATCGCCGTATCCGGCAACAGCGCCTGATCTTCACAGGAAAATGGATCGCTGACAATCAGCCAAGGTATCTGTGTAGCTCCTAGTATCATCCTGTACCCTTCGCCCATGATGGTTCTCTTTGCCTCTCAGCATTGCTGTTTCATGTTTATTATGACAGGTGTTAAAACTCGAAACGATGGTATGATTGTGGACACTATTTAATAATTTAACACTAACACGAGGCAGTAATATGGGAATGGTAGATAGATACTAAAATGTGCATAATATATACCTTTTTTTTCAGGGCTTAGAGAACTTGTTTAGGAACTTAAATCCATATTTTAGTTTGATGTTAAAGGTAGTCCTCATTTAATTAAAGTCCCTAATCCCCATAATAACGACCAGCAACTTGATTCCTAATCAAAGCAATCATTAAGTGAAATGTCCCATAATGGCCCCACAGCAGTTTTGGCAGTCCCTTTGGCTATAAATCCTGCTTGGTCATTACACAAGGACCCAACCCAATCTGAGCCATTCCTGGCATGGTCCCTACCCTTCCTGAGCCTGGGTCCTTCCAAAGTAGGGAACTATTTCAGCATCCTCATCTCTCCCTCTTATCTCTGCCCTTTTGGCCACCTGCTGCCCACTGCCACTTCTGTCCACCATGCACCACTGCCAGCTAGGACAGTCCTTCATGCTGCTCCTGACTTAATATGAAGGATTAACAAAGAAGGATCACTGCGGGACAGTCCGCAGTGTGAAGGCTCATTCCCAGTGGCAAGGCACACGTTGTCCTTCCTGGTCACCCTAGCTCTCACCTGCAGCACTTGCTTGCCTGCCCCTGCTTCCTGGCACCTGCCTGGATCACCTGCTGCCCCCAGCTAACCTTTACCCTCATTTTGCCTCCCTCTTTTCCACTGGACACACTATCCTGGCCACAGACAGACAGGTATTGTGGGAAGGTGGATCTGCGCCGCTACCCTGCTGAGTAAGCCAGTCTTTCATGCTCTACCTTGCCATACACCACTGCCAGCTGGGATGATCCTTAGCGCAAAAGATCAATGGGTAAAGATTGCTGCAGGACAATCTGCAACACAAAAGATTATCTTGGCCCACAGGAGAACATGGCACAAATATGGCGCATGTCACAAAAGATCATCCTGGCCAGACCAGAATTTCTTTTCCAGCACGATCTGAGAACGGTGGGACTTAAAATCCTGCACATCTGGATAGCTGCTTTAAGAATGATATACTGTAGTTCATTGCGGAAGAAACCCAGATTTAAAATCCTTCTTCAGGCATGAAGCTGGCTGGTGAAACATGAGCTGATTACGTTCTTCCTTATTGTAATCTAATCCTCCCAGGATTCATCGGAATAAATTGGTGTGTGTGTGTTTGTGAGTGTATAGAAACCCAGTGAATTAAGCTTTGCAGAGGAAGGCTATAGGGTTTCAAAAGTTGCGGGTAGTCATTCCCTATCTAGATCAATCTATTGGAGTTGGCGAGAGGAGGGAAATGAAGTCATTGCAGAGGAAGAATGAAAAACACTTGCTTTAGTAAACACAAGGTTATTACTTGCATTTTACTACTCTCATCTCTGTAATCAAATTCTCAAACTTTAATCCCAGGTGTTAGTCAAAGTAACTTAAAGCAGGGGTCTGCAACCTTGACAACTTTAAGACTTGTGGACTTTATCTCCCAAAATTCCTCAGCCAACTATGCTGAGGGAGCTGAAGTCCACAAGTCTTAAAGTTGTCAAGGCTGCAGACCCCTGACTTAAAGGATGGGGGTATTCTTCATTCTTAGTGAGGTATAATGGCAAAGGAGGCTTTACTGTCAGTTGTAATGGCCAGTAATATAATCTAGCATTGTGCAAGTATGTTCCAGTCAACTGAGCTATGATAATGTTGTGTGATTCTCTTAGTTATATTGAACTTCAGCTGCTGGTTTGAAAGAAGCACGGTGAGTTTTTAGTTCAGATGCTACCACCCAACCAAAGAAGTTACAGAAATGTATATCTCCAAAAGCTTTTATCTATTAAAACATCAGAGGAGATCAGATGATAATCCCTGACTGCCTTAAAACTTCATCAAGCTTACCCACTCTCAATTGGCCCAAGTAAAGGTTGCTTCCCCCCCCCCCCTTCTAGCTCTGTTTTACTTTGCTTTCAATTTTGTGGACTTAAAATAAAAAAAAAACCAGTGAAATTTTTTTCCCCGCTCGAGGTTTGTGACTGATTATTCTTGAAAATCTTTCGGTAACATACAGTTAATTGCTTTTTTTTTTTTTTTTTTTTGTTAAAGGTTGATCCAATGTGAAAATGAGGTTGGCAAACTCATGTTTTTGACAGAGATCCCAGAACTGTTACTGGAGGAACATAGTGAGTCCAAACAGAGTCATGTTCTGCAGGAAGCATCAGAGCCTCAGTTTGTAGATGGGAGCCCAGGACTTAAGTCAGTGCTATCTACAAGTCGAAACCTGAGCAGCAGCTCTGATACGGGAGATAAGCCAATGGTGACATTCAAAGAAAACATTAAACCACGAGAAATAAACAGAGAGCCAGGCCGAAACTACCTGACCAAGGAAGTAGGTAGGGAAAGAAGAGATTATATCAAAGGAATAACAGCCAATAAAAATGATGGAAAGAAGGACAACAACAACAAAAGGAAGAATGAGATTAAGAAATGTGGCATGGACAAGGGTCAAGAAACAGGGAAGCAGAATGTAGCTATACAGGTACGATTCTCTATATGTTATCATTCCTCTGAATGTTTTCATGCTGCCACCTAATTTAGCTGTAATGTTATAAAGTGGCCTGAAGCTACTTTTAAGCTTTTGGATGATGTGACATAGTGAGACAGCTATGAGAGGCAGATGCATCTGAAGCTTCCATACCTTCTCTTTGCTCCCTCAATATTTATTTTCCTTACTAGGGGATCTAATGGAATAGTGGCTTATGTTTCTCTCTTTCATTGCATCTCTATGGTCTTATTTTCCTTTCCTTCCTTTACTCTGTCCATCCGTTAGATCAGGGGTCGCCAACTTTTCTGGGTTGGCGGCCCAGTGGGAAAGGGAGGGACAGGCACCTTTATGCGCACATGCACACAGACACACAAATGTGGCTGCGTGTGCGCGAACGGGGCCGTGAGCATGCACGCTCCGCAAATGGGGCTGCTAGCGCCGGCACGCGGCTCGCCAAGCACCGGTGAGAGGCTTGCGGCTCGCCTAGTGCCAGCACACGGCTCATGGCTCGGTTAGCACCGGCACGACATTCATGGCTCGGCTAGCGCCGGCACAAGGACAGAATGAATGCATGCACATGCGCACGTGCAATGGCCAGCCACTCGTGCGGTCCAGTGACCAAGAGGCCATGACCCGGTAGTGGGCTGTGGCCCATAGGTTGGGGACCTCTGCATTAGATGTTCTGTTCTTGGGTACCTCTCTTTGGGGTCTTATGACTCATAATTAGACTGTCCAGTTGAATCTTTACTTAGTAGAGTGGGACTCCATTCATTCGTTCATTCATTCGTTCATTCGATTTGTGGCTTCCCTCTTATTTAGGAATTCAGGAGGTCATATATAGCATTCCCCCTCTTAGCAATAGCCCTGTGATGTAGATAGGTTGAGAGAGAGAGAGTGACTCGCCCTAAGTCACACTTTTGAGCTTCAGACTGGACTTGAGCCTCAGATTCCCCAGTGCTAGTACCACCTCTTAATGGCTACATGACACTATCATTTAATCACATGATTTAAATAAGCTTAATAATGCCATTATGTTTTCTGAAATTAAGCATTCTAATATTTTTTAAACTGCAAGAGTCATTTGCTAGCATTCAGTATAATATTACAGCAAATTTTTGCCAATTTCTGGTAATGGGGAGCTGCTCCAAGTGGATCTGATATGAGATACAGATTGTTCTAACATTTAATAAATGTTAGAACCTGTATCCCATATCAGATCCACTTTATAAAATGAATTCAGTACAAAGATCTTCTTGATGATATTCTTACGTTTAGGAATGTTCCGTATTAGTACACAATTCAGTGGGGACAGATTATACTTCATAAATTTTCTAAACACAAATTTTGCAATTGTCCAGATTTTCTCAGGGACTCATTTTTTTGCTGAACTACAGATATTTTTTTTTGAAATCTTTCCCTTATGTGCTGTTGCTTCTAAATAAAGTATAAAGTTATCTCAGAATGGGTATTGTTTATTGTGCTTTCTTTTGCTCTAAATTTCAGCTTTCAAAATTTTCATTATGTAGGTTTATTGATGTATTCATTTTTTCTGGAATAGGTGTGCTAGTTTAGGCGTATACATTTTTAAGGAGCAAATATGTCAGTATATGCATCTTTTCTGCAAAAAAGCCCAGCTCATCTATGATATATGAATTGCTGTAACTTTGAAGTTGCAACTGAAATTGAATAAAATGAAACTGACATTGATGTAAAGAAATACATCAGGCGCTCATTTATAATTTCATTCAAACCTACATCTTAATGCTCTCGTACCTGCAAAAGCTGTGATAATTTTAGAAACAGGGCATCTAGATGGAGATATCTATCATCACAAGTCCAGTAGCTGGATGAATATTAAAATATTTTTTAAAAAAATCTCAAGTAATGATTTTATTAATGTTTGCATTTTAATTTTCCAATTTATGTTTCAGAATCCTTGGCCCAACTGCTGGGAGTTCTTACCAGCTTCTCCATTCGGTTTCTTTTGAAGCTGTGTCTCTTGAGTTCCACCTAGAAAGTATGAAGCCAAAGAGGCTTAAACTACCTCCTCTAGTCCACTGTGGAGATAAATAATGGCTCCTCCAAATTCCAAACATGATCTTCAGTCTGAGTTCTTTTCTGAAAAAGCTAGTAGAATTTGTTCTCACCTTGTGAGTCAGAGGAATAGTACATGATCAGTCTAAAATGTTCTGAGAACTGCAAATGTGGAACTGGCCAAGGCTAAACCCACATTCTTTGTTCCTGTAAACCAGTGTTTCTCAACCTTGACAATTTTAAGGCATGTGGACTTTAACTCCCAGAATTCCACAGCCAGCATTGCTGGCTGTGGAATTCTGGGAGTTGAAGTCCACATGCCTTAAAATTGTCAAGGTTGAGAAACACTGCGTGTAAACCAAGAATGAGAAAACAAATCCCTGGAAAGAATTGATGTGTCTTATACTAACTTTTTAATTATTACATTCTTAAGAAGGCATGGACAAGTGAACAAGGGCAAAAATGTAGAATTACTGCTTTTACTGACTTATCCCTTTAGGTAAAATCCCAGACTGAGTTGAGAAAGACTCCAGTGTCTGAAGTCAGAAAAACACCAGTAACTCAATCTCCAAACCAGGCCAGCAACTCCCAGTTCATCCCCATCCATCACCCAGGAGCTTTCCCTCCTCTTCCCAGCCGGCCAGGTAAAAATGCTGTTACTCTAAACTAATCTTGGCTTGATGTAAACTGATGGAACAGACTATTGATGTCTTCCATATACTTACCTTTCTTAATTTAAAGGGGAAAGGGGCAAGAGGGAGAGAATGAATGTATGTGCATATATGGGATTAAGTAAATGCATTGTTAAATGGAATATTCATATTATTTCTAGAAAGTTGGCATAATCGTTAAATATGTAACTTTACATGGTGTTTACCAGGCATCAGTCTTTCCAGTGTCTCTTTTGCCAAGATGCAGCATGAGAAGACATCATTATTTCACAGTTTACATACATACATACATACATACATACATACATACATACATACATACATACATACATGACAGACAGACAGACAGACAGACAGACAGACAGACAGACAGACAGATATAGTATGTGACAACAAAGAAAACTTACAGATCTTTGCAAACATAAATGTAGATTTTGAAGTAGAAAACATAATATATGTAAAGTATCCCTATACCGCTTTAATTAATTTATTTGTGTATAACATGCAAAGATGCCTAAAATCCTCTGAAAGTCATAGTGAAGCATCCCCTAGGATTTTAGAGCTTTCCTAGAATTTTCCTCCAGCAAAGCGAGAGTACACTTGCAGGCTTACTGGCACAAACTTCTTTTTGCAAATAACTTTTTCAGCACTGAAGAATGGACTGAATTAATCCATTCCTATAATTGAATGCTGACAGATAGGAGATCTTCGCTTTACAAAGATTCTCTTTAGCTGGCAGGATCAGAGAGGTGAAGAAAGGACCAGTCACAATCTGTCTCAGTGGTTAATCCTGAAGAGGGGGCCGGAAGTATTATCCAAGGTTTCAGTTTATTAAAATGTGTGCTTTCTTTCTTTCAAGGCTTCCCCCCTCCTGCCTATGTTATTCCTCCTCCTGTGGCTTTCTCTATGAGCTCGGGATATACTTTCCCAGGTGGTGTTTCTGTCCCAGGAACCTTTCTTCAGCCTGCAGCTCATTCACCTGCAGGAAATCAGGTGCAAGCTGGGAAGCAATCCCACATTCCTTACAGCCAGCAGCGGCCCTCTGGACCAGGCCCAATGAACCAGGGACCTCAACAGACTCCACCCCCTTCTCAGCAGCCCCTTGCATCCATACCAGCTCAGGCAACAAACCCGTCTGCAAGCCAGCTACAGGTCCAGGCTCTCGCCCAGCAGCAGCAACAACAACAGTCCCCAACGAAAGCTGTGCAGGCATTAGGGAAGAGTCCTCCACACCACTCTGGATTCCAGCAGGTGAGCCTCTGCTAACTTTGAGAGAGGAGAGAGTGTCAGAGCTCCAAACTTTTATAAGTTTTGTACTCAAGTAACACAAAGACTCCAGCTTAGATTGCAGTACCGGCCTCTCTGTAAATTTTATAATGGCAAGTACAACCTCTAAAGGAGAGAAAAAGGAATTCACAAGTTCTTTGGGAAAGAGACAGACAAAATATGGCGAACAAGCTAGGAATGTAGTTGAAGGCCAGGAACAGAAGAGTGTCAGAAGGGACGTTTATTAATGATCAAATGTCTCTTTTCTAGGCTAGAAGAGTCTTGAGTTGTCAGAATAGTTCAGATTATATTTGATAAAAGTTTTCCTCCTACTTCTTCTCAAGTATGGCATGACCAGCCTTATAAATGATGAATTGGTATTATTGAAAGATTGGTTAAACATATTTGAAGGATTACAACTTAATATGCACCACAGCTGCAACATTGTGTCTTCGTTGAAAGATGAAAAATGATGAATGAATGAATCTTAAGGTCAAAATGCTAGCCGTGTAGTCTGTCTCTGCTAAAAGGTTTCTTTAGTTTTTCTCTGCTTGTGAGGCCTGAAAACTTTAATCTCAAAAGGAAGCTGTAAATTTTGGAAGTTTGCTTTGCAGAATTGAATGTGCAGTTCTGCCTAACATGCTCTGCACTGAACGTATTTTTGTAATAAGGTAATACGTTCAGTGTACAGCACGTGCGCAGAGAAGAGAAAAAGTATATTTTTTTGGTTATCCTATCATTCAACCCTGTTAGTTAATTCTGAATCAGAGCATAGTTGGCATCCATATTACATTCAGTTTGTTCTGTCGGTCTGTGTGGTTATTTGCTGGATCTTAAAATCAACCTCTTATCCAGAGGGTCTGTATTACTGATAATGCTGAATGCTGGCATATTTATTCTTAGTATCCCCATGGAGACTCCTCCAAGCAGCTCTGGAGCCCCTCTCAGGTTCAAGGCCCATTGGGGAAGATCATGCCTATGAAGCAGCCGTACTATCTTCAGGGCCAGGATCCCGTGAAACTCTTTGAACACTCCTTGCAGCCTCCCCTTCTGCAACAACAGCAGCCTCTGGAGAAGAAAATGAAGCCTTTCCCTATGGAGCCATATAACCAGAATCCCTCAGAGGTCAAGATGCCAGAATTTTACTGGGACTCCTATGGTATGGCTGATAACCGTGTTGTGATGGCACAACAACAAGCCAACATGGACCGCAGAGGGAAACGTCAGCAAGGAGTCTTCCGCCCAGAACAGGACCCAATGTCGAGGATGGCTTTTGAGGTAAACTAAGAGTTGGCCACAGAATACAGGCAGTAGTTTCCTTTATGCCACAAATGGACAGATTCTGATGACTTACCGGTGTGGATGTTTAGGCCAGTCGTGTCTTCCTAGAGTGTTTTGCTTGGCATTCAAATTGGATGAATCTGTGTTTCTGGCTCAATGGTTCCCTAGTCCTACTGTTCTTATAAAGAGTTAACTGGCAGGCTAACCCAGGTTGTTTTGTTTTAAGCTCAGAACAAAACAATCCCGCTTAGAACACTCCACTGGAATATTTCAGGCACACTGTGCTCCAATGGATCAAACATAATGTTTCTTGTATTCTGTTGTTCACAATTATTCCCCTTCATGGAGGTTCAATACACGACAAAAACCAAACCTATCAGGATAATTTCAGAACAATCCAATAAAATCAGCTGAGAACTCAAAACAAATATTTATATTAAACCAACACAACAGTACCCTTAAAACAATGCTTTAGGATAGGATAGTGTATGTAATAGTATGTGGGAATGATCTTGGGAGACAAGGCAAAGAGACACAACCAAGGGAACAGTCAGATAGAAGGCAACTTAGCGCCCAATAGGAATATGGGTGGGTCCAGTGGCTCAAAAGAGACCCTCCCGAGTTTCTTGGCTGTAAAAGGACAGGGGGAAGAAATGTACTTTCAGACATGCAAGATTCAGTTTATTTAACTTACAATAAAGTAGAATGAGTTTATCTGTTCCATGTTTCCTGTCTGGTCTACCTCACCAGGCTGAGAATATACTACACATCCATAATAATTTAAAATACACATAGTCCTCAACTTACGACCACAAAATTTCTGTTGCTAAGTGAAACATTTGTTAAGTGAGTTTTGCTCCATTTTACGACTTTTCTTGCCACAGCTGTTCAGTGAATCACTGCAGTTGATAAGTGAGTCGCACGGTTGTTAAGTGAATCCGGCTTCCTCATTGACTTTGCTTGTCAGAAGGTTGCAAAAGGGGATCACATGGCCTTGGGACACAGCAATGGTCATAAGTATGAACCAATTGCCAAGCATCTGAATTTTGATCACATGAGCATGGGGATGCTGCAAAGGTCGTAAGTATGAAAAACGGTCTTAGTCGCTTTTTCCAGTGCCATTGTAACTTTGAACTCACTAAATGAACTGTTGTAAGTCAAGGACTACCTGTATATATTAATCTGTCAACTAAATAAAAGTGGGATGGAACAACCAGACCCCGTAGTAATCAAATAATATATAACAATCTAAAAGACTGTGATATTTCTACAAAGACAAAGAGAATTGAATGGAATCCTTAAGGCCCACAACTTGGAGATTATAATCCTGGACTGAGTATCCAAAAGAAGGCCCTGCTCAAAGAATGTAAAGAGCAGTCAGGGTTGTATTAAGAAATAAGGCCAGGCAGGTATTGAGGAGTTTGTGATGGAAGGATTCTAGGGGCACCAGCTCATGTGCCCAGGGGAACTTACTAATTATCAGTCAGCAAACAAGAAACATCAGTAGGTTTACTTCTGCACAGTCTATCAACAACAGCAAAAATATAGTTTTGGGCTGTTAGTTTGTGACTTTTCATAAATACACATGCATGTGTTTATGCATTTGGCAACAGTTCTCTAAAAGTCATACATAAGCATCTAGCTGTTACACAGTTCCACTTTAGTAAGCAATGTTATCCAAAGAACAGAAAGGGAGTGTAATAAAGTAACCACAAATACACACTATTTTTTTTCATTGCCTTTTGTTCTTTAAACATCACTTAGGTTTTGAGGATCTTATCGAATTCTTGGTTTTGCCCTTCCTTTTGACCTATTCACTTGTCATATGTTTTTTCTGTGATCCATCCTCATTCATTCTCATTGTCATCAGGCCAGTTCAATGTGCTTCTTTTTACTGGTCTTTTACTTTTGTACTCAACGTTCATTAATTTAACAACCATTCAATCAACACTCACCCACACTTCTTAAGTAATCTATGCCCACTACATTCAATGTTGATGTTCCTGCTGATTTACCCAACTCTCACTTCCATAGAAAAAAGGGGACAAACCTTAATTGCTTTTGACAGATACCTGTTGAGAAGGGTAGCTATACAGGTCAAATAAAAAAATACTTAGTATCTGTCTACTTGCAGTTTACATGCCTTGACATTTCTTCATCCATTTGCACATCTCACATGTATTCAGTAGTACACATAAATCAATTTATTTGCTCTAGGGTTTTTTTTGCCATTTAAGTATAACTTGACATTTTTCACTCTTGTTTTTTCTGTCAGATTTGAATGTTTGTTACATTAACATTCAGATTTATACTCCTCAATTCTCAGCAACCCATTAGTGTTGTCTTCTAACAGCATTTCATTCCCTGCATACAAAAGTACATACAATACATCCTTAACCCATATACCGCTGATGGCACATTGCTTATACATTTATCTGTAAATACATTAAATAACCAAGGAGATGCTGCACATTTTTCTTCCCACTAAGTGTTGAATCATTCTCGTGCATGCTTTACTTTAATCCTACACAGCTCTTATCACATTCGGCATCCAATCTACATTTGTGCCAAACATTTCATAACTCAGACTTCTTCAGTTCACGATGTACTCTTTGCAAGTCAAAATGCAGAAAAGTATCTTTCCTATGTATATTTTTTTCAGATAAATGTACTGCAAAGCTAAACAAATAAAAGAATAAACCCGGAAAATTCAACTTTGCAGGGCTGTATGCGATGGACAGGCACATTAAACAGCTGTCTGTCTGTCCATCTGTCTCACAACTTGCCTGAACTAGATAAACAACAATGAAGTGATGTGGAGGAAGCAAGATGATTTGCAAAGTTTGTAAGATATCAAGAGGCAGGGTGGCATAAATTAGTTTCAGCTGTATTTCTGTATCTTACAATTCTTTCAGTTTTTCCAGCTTTTGATTTTTTGCTGCCTTTTTGGTACTCTGGGTAATATTGAATATTCCACAAGGGAATTGTGTGATAGCTATGTATGTGTGGAAGAAAATGTTTAATTTATTGCATTGTAACCCATTGATCTAATTTCCCCATAGCAAAGATTTTACAAAATGATGATAAACTTTTCTGCCAAACAGCAGCAGCGTGTGATAAACTGACTTTCCCCTCTCTCCCCTTCATTAGGACCAGCCAATAGCAGCAGTGATGGTACTTTGCCTGCTGTCTTAGTAGCTTAATTTGCCTATTCTGGGGGAAGACAGGCAGAACAAAAGCTCTGTTCATTTTATTGAGCAGAATAATAAATCTGAGAATTGGAAAGCAACTTACTATAGTTATCAGAGCCAGGTTTAGTTGGTCAGTACAGTGGTTTAGGGCAGGCTTTGCTTCATTTCCCCCTTTCCCCAGCATTTTTTTGCCAGGGTATACTATATACATATGTATACATTACAATATAAAAAGAAATAATTAGCAACATCATAAGATATTGCTTGCTTGTAGTGTAATGCTTGATATCCAACACAAGGTTTTTAAAACTTAAAAAATGTCACAAGAGGAGAGGAATAGATCATTATCTGGTGGCAAATTCTAAAGTCCAAGTTGGGCGTGGATTTCTTCCAGAACTTTCCAGTTAAACATAATTTATTTATTCTCAAGCTTTATCACTATAAGATTGTATAAATCAACATTTAAATAGTTGGATAGCCCCTAAATGTAGAGAAAGCAAATACAAATCTCTTTTCTGTCAGTTGTTCACTGACTTTGTCAGGGAAATTTTAAGTAGAAACGCCCCTATGAGTCTAAATGTGAGTTAAGGTGGCACTCCAATAGTGTAGTAGATCTAAAATTCTGAAAAATAGGTATAAGCAGTCAACTGTTAATACTTATTTTGAAAACTTTGGATAAAAGTTCATACCTGCCTTGTCTGCACTTTCACATTAGTGATTCATTGCAGGGTAAAGCTGCTTAAAACCAACGAAACAGGTGGGCTAATCCCCCTTCCTTTATATTTATTTAATTATCTATCAATCTGTCAATCAATTAAATTTATAGAGCACCAAAGTCAACTCTAGATGGTGCACAGCAATCAGATAAAAATAAATAAAAACAAAAATATAAAAATCCATATTAATAACTGTCATGAAAGTGGAAAATATAAATATGGGAGAAGGATAAAAATGGCAACCTCTACAATGGAGCCATCTGAGCAAGTCTCTGGGAGCCCCAGACCTGGCAACATAGACTTGTCTTGAGAACTTATCAAAAGGGATGGAGCTAATCTAATTTCAAGGGGATATCATTGGGAACAGTGTGTGCAGGGAAATAATCAAGTCATAAAATCACTTGAAAAAAGTAATTTAAAAAGTAATTAAATGCAGCAGTCCATCAAAGTCATATTAAGACAACATTCCTAAGTACATGTCTATGTTTTTTCTGATAGAGATATCCACATAAGCCTACAGGTGGTAGCCCTGATAACGCTAATACTGTTAACATCTCCTCATTCTTATATCACCTTTTAAAAAATAAAAGCAAGGAGTCAATTGCTTCGTGTTAGAAGTTGCAAATATGTTAAAGGTTTATTTTTTTTACTTTCTTGTGAAAGTTTGCTAGAAATATTACAAAAGAATACCATAAAGCTCTGTAATATTTTATGTTTCAAGTTTACTTTTATATATTTAGATTTATTTCAACAACCTTAAGAATTGATTTTATCCCAGCTGTAACAGTTTTGAAGTATTTGACCTAGGGTACTTTATATTTCAGGCAGGTACACTGTTGTCAGGAACAGATGGAAAAGACAGATAATTTTTATAGACCAAGAAAAAGCTATGATATTCAAGATCAGAGAAGGATTTTGCTCACAACTAGCATTCTGAAAACTTTCCATCAACTTCCAAGAATTTTTTTTTAAGTCCAATTTCTGTATTAAAGAGAGGGTTCTCAAAATATGAGTTGTATCCCTTAGGACAGGGGTCCCCAACCCCCAGTCCGTGGACCAGTACCGGGCCGTGGCATGCCAGCAACCGGGCCACACAAACAAGCAAAGCCCCATCCGCAGGATGCAGGCAGCACACAAAACCACGCCCCCTCTGATCCACGGAAAAACCTCTCTCCACGGAACCGGTCCCTGGTACCCAAAAGGTTGGGGACCTCTGCCTTAGGAAGTTGCAAGCAACACAGAGGGAACCACAAAAATTTTAGCAGTCCATGCAAAGTAGGAATACTCTAAAACTTGTTCCAGCTTTGTCTGGACAAGCCTGCAGTGGAATTGCCTATAAAGAACAGGGAACAACTTGGCCCAGGTTTTGAGAGTGTTTCTGCTTTGCATGTGGTAATCATCAGGAAATTCAAAACTTGCTCCCAATTAGAGTGACCTGCAACAAGCTAAACGAAGGCAGAATGAGGAATAAAACCAAGAGTAATTTTTATTTTTGAGAGGTAGCTAAATCTTCGATCTAGTCATCTGCAAAATACATCAGTTTTATATATCATTCATTTAGTTTTATTTATGACCTGGGTTGCAAAAATTCATTTATCGTTTTAGGGGATCATGGTATTGCATTATTTGAGAATTCTGCCATATTGTATATACGTCTAATCTTCCAGTTTTGATCAATAAGGTAGTATAAACATATCTTGCATTATGGGCAAAATTACTGTCCATACCTTTCATATCTGCTAAGATGTTGAACAAATAACGTACTTTGCACATACTTGCTAAGTCAGACAGTAGGGACTACATTTTCCACAAAAGTCAATCCCGATGTTCTGTTTCTCTATACCAGGGCTTTTCAACCAGCGGTACGGGTACCACCTGTGGTACATTGGCACCTGGCAGGTGGTACGCGACCATCCTAGAAAAGTGGTAGCGGGGGAGGGGAATGAGCTGAACCGGTGGCAGCACCGCACAAGCCTGAGCGAGAGACGGCTGGAGCTGCAGGGCTGCCAGGGCTCAGAGGAAGCGCCAGGATCAGCTCCAGGCTCCAGCTAGAGCTCGGCACTGATCCTGGTGCTTCTGCTGAGCCCAGAAGAAGCACCGATCAGCTGGAATGTTGCAGCATCTCCAGGCTCTTGTGATTTACATTCAGATGCTTGGCAACTGATTCATATTTATGACGGTCACAGTGTCCCAGGGTCATGTGAAGTGACCAAAACCTGCTGCAACCACCCAGCAGATGGGGGGGGGATAAAAACCAAACACCCCCCACCCCACCCCAATTCTCAACAGAAATGCTCACAACAATGAAAACCTCGGACAAGAGGAAGAGCGCTGCCAGGCGGGCAAGCAGGTGTCTTGCTTCGCTGTGGCTTGGGGGGCACTTTTTTCAGTGCCATTGTAACTTCGAACAGTCACTAAGCGAACTGTTGTAAGTCGAGGACTACCTATACTTCATCACTTTTTTCCTTTTTTGACACCTTGCTAGGCAACTGGTGGTACTCAGATATTGCCATATCCTAAAAGTGGTACAATGGGTGAAAAGGTTGAAAAGCCCTGCTCTATACATTAAACATGAAGGGAAGGGAAGGGATCCCTAAAGCATAAAACAATGAGAGAAGGTTATATTAACACTGCTTTTATCTTTTCTCCTTTGAATCTTGACTTCTTTTCCTCTTTACCTCTTTGACTAGCTTTTGCATGCTGGCTTACCTATCTTTGCATTTTTCCCCGTTCTCCTTGCCTTGCATTTATTCCTATGGGCTTCTTTGGGCCTTTAAACTTTGTCTGTTGCTATTCTTGCTTCCTTGTCTTTCCATGCTGCATCTCACTGTGCTCCTTTCTGTCACTAGGACCCCAAGAGCTCCCCTCTGCTTCCTCCGGACCTGTTAAAGAGTTTGGCTGCCTTGGAGGAGGAGGAAGAGCTGATTTTCTCTAATCCTCCTGATCTTTACCCAGCTCTACTGGGGCCTCTCGCCTCTCTTCCTGGACGAAGCCTCTTTGTATGTATTTGACTTAATTCTGCTGCTTCTTGCTCTAATTTTGCCGTTATCTTCCTTTTTTTTTCCCCTTGCAAGTTCAGTTGGAGGTTTGAAATCTATAATTCCTTGCTGAAATTGTTTTAATGGGGAAAATGGAGATCTTATAGGACAGTGGTGGCGAACCTATGGCACGGGTGCTGGAGGCGGCACTCGGAGCCCTCTCTGTGGGCACACATGCCATTGCCCCAGCCTTGTCTCCGCCCGCGACCCCCTCCTCACCAGCAGCCTCCCTCAAGGAGAGTCGCCCCGAGCGTGGCCCACACGGAGCAGCGCAGCCAAGGACATGGCAGCCAGGCAGCGTAGACAACACTCTGCCCTCACGCCCCAATGTGCAGTTGATGCTGCAGGGTGTGGGCAGAGGGCGTGGCTGCCATGGCACTGCTGGGCTGACTGGGCGATCTGTGGCAGGCCCTGGAGGTGGTGAGTGGCCCTGCAGGCAGGCAGGGTGGGACGGAGTGGGGGCGGGGCAGGGGGTGGAGCAGGGGCGGGGCCAGTTTTTGGGCACTCGGTCTCTAAAAGGTTCACCATCATGGTTATAGGAGAAAGCAGCTTTTACACAGATGTAATGTTCTATCAGGGTTGCTCCTTTCTGGCCCAATGCACAATTTTTTGTAAATACTGGAAAAGGGTCCATTTTGAAACATAGTCCACCAAATTCTGTTTTCTACAAAAATGGGTTCACCTTGACTTTTCAAGTCTATTCATTTGGGGGAAATGGGTGTGCTAGCCTACTACATCCTACTAAAGGGGATATTCTACCTGACCATATTATTGCTCCCGAATTCTTATTCAAGCACAACGTAAGAAAGCTGCAATCTTACCTGACCCAGATTCTGGTTCCTTCTTGGCTTGCAGGAAACTTTGTAGTTAAGTTTTCCATCTGTGTTAATACAAAAGTAAATATAATTTTACATTATGTAATATGAATAAAATAGGCATTAAGAAACTAGAACCATGAACTTAAAACCAAGCAAGCATTTCTCAGCCACTTAATTAATTTTAATAAAATGAGACATTCTTTTTTAAAGAAGTGTAGAAAATAAACTACTGTCTGTCTGCATGTGGTCCATTGATCTCCTTTTTTAAAGGCTACCCAAGCTGTTTTGACATTTATCAAGCAGAAACATACGCTCCTTCAAGTAAGATTGAGATGAAAAAATATTCATATTTGTTAATATAATCAATAAGGATTGGTTTAGGTCAGTGGTAGGCAACCTTGGCTCTTTTATGACTCGTGGACTTCAACTCCCAGAATTCCTGAGCCAGCATGCTGGCTCAGGAATTCTGGGAGTTGAAGTCCACGAGTCATAAAAGAGCCAAGGTTGCCTACCCCTGGTTTAGGTCATATCAGGGTTTCATGAAAATTTCATTAGTCAGCCAGATGTGGAACATGAAAATAGAAGTTTTCCCTCTTATTGTTCCCAGCTTTTGCTGATAGAGAGTATTATTCTCTATTACTGGAAAAGGAGTAACCCTTGATAGATATATCTTTCAATAATCTAATTTGAGGGTATCATAGATTAATATAAAGTTCATGTTTATTTCAAGTGTATGTGACATTTGTGTACCTATATCCTTCCTGGGGTCATGAGTGCAGAAAAGTCCTTAATTAAGGAGATTCTGTGTATTTTACCATAAAATGTGGAGAGATCCTGTTCCTGAATACATGTTCAACCATCCAAATCCTTTCTGATTAAATTCTGATTTCTAATTAAAATACTACTGTTAAGAAAGAGAGAGTCTGTTGTCATAAAATCACTAGGATTTCTTTCTTCCTGTTAATTATATATTTGCCTAGGATGCTTGATGGGAAGGTAAGAACAGTGAAGCTCTCTAGAGGTTGAATTTTTATATGATCATTTCACTTATGGACATATAAAATATATTTATTTATATAAAGCTCCCGTGTGGAATTGGCTAAAAACTACTTCCCTTAAAATAATGGCCAAAACTACATTGAACTGTTTATATCAACGTCAGAGATGCCTGGTTAGATGAGAAGCTGCAAAGAGAACTTAAAGTTAGTCTATTACACAAAGCATAGTTAATAAAAAAGTATTATACTTCAACTTTGTAGGGTCTTGATTATCTTGTATAAATTTACATTCAGTGCTAGGTCTTTAGAAATGTCACTTTCTCAGAAAGAGTTTCCTACTTTGTAATCACAGTAACTGGGCATATTTATTGAATGGAAGCTTATTAAGGATCTAAATATTTAGAAATGTGTCTTGTATTCCTTGACAAGTGAAGGATTTCCTTTCATTACCATGGGAAGCTTGATTCCATGGGAGCCTCCCTACTGAACAGGAGAATAGGAATGGGAAGGAATAGATGCCATTTCTTGTTTTCCTTGGCAATTCCCAATAACATTTATGCTAGAAGATCTTCTACTATCCCAGAACAGGTTCTTTTTGGTATAGGAAGCTGCTAAGAGAAGGGAATTGGTTAAAATTTCAGGAAAGTTGCAGTTCTGGCTGATTGTGTGTGTGTGTGTGTGCGCGCACGCGTGCACGCTTGTGTTAAAAAAAATGCTTGATTTGTATTAAAACATAGTAGGATTATGGATACATAATCCTTCTGGGATTTTTATTTCAATGAAATTGTGAAAGAGACTGGTCTTCAGTTATTAGACATAAAAAAAACCCGTAATGTGTTTTTTTTTACCTTAACAGAATATTTTTGTCTCCATATACTTTTGAGTTGATTTTAATGTATTTTCTGACAGCTACCCTTAAACTATCTTTCCAGTTCCATAAAGCAACTTACAGTAATTATCCTCCATATTACATAAAATGTTTTCTTTTTCTGAAGAAAGTGGTGGAAGACGAATATGAATTTTTTAGAGAAAAATCCATCAAATGTATTAGTCATTGAGTAGCAGTTCTTTAGACTGAATGCTACTCTTGCTCATCTCCCCAGTATCATTTGAAATTAATGGTTTTAATTACGCAGTTGACATTGATTGCATCCCTTCCAATCAAATCCTAATGACATGCCAGGACAGGGCCTCCATCATGACAGTTGAAGGTATGCAGCTTTTTATCTGCAGATATGTGTCAAATTACATCAGTTAATGCCAAAATACGATACTAACCCTGAGCATATGTTTTAAACTTAATTTGTCTCATCAGCCAATCAGAAATTTTCATTTTTTTGCCAAGATTGTGCAAATTAAGCAGTTTTGCATAATTGTTATACAATGTTGTACAATTTATTCTGATTTTCTTTTCACAGAGAAGGCCAATAACTCTATAGGATTGCTCTCATACTTCCATGCTTTCCCCTGGCGATAAATTATATTGGATCTTGTTTCTGCTGTATGAAATTGGAGTTTCTAATGAAACTGTAATCTTCATTCAAATGATATTCCTCATTTTTTTTTCCACACTTAAGGACAGGCTTGTAAAGCAGAAACAGCTCTGCACATTAGTTTTAATTGTTTTAATCAGCTTGTATTTAACACAATATCTTCATTTTGGCTAATGTTAATCTATTAGCTGCATTAACAAGTTATTTGCAACATCAGTATTCTTTTTTTAACAAAATAAAACCCTAAATATTACCAGGTTTGTGGTTATGGAAATAGTAATTCAGATATTAAGCCTTCATATTTGAGCAGAGCCCGATTAGTCTGAATATGTCATACATTCATACTTAATGAATATATTGACAAACTTGCAATTTTATGGTTCCTCAGCCACACGAGGTGTTAAAGCATATTGTTTTAGTATGAAATTTCCCAAATGAATTGCCATTTTTTGAGAGCTACACATGCAACTGACCGCACTGTTTGCTATCATTTGCAATTTAATCAAATTATTCATATCTGTTTTACACAGTTTATTTTAAGTGCCTGTATCATATAGTAAAAATGAGTTATACAAGGATCTTTAATGTGATTCTTGTTCTCATGCATGCTATATGAACCCCCAGGACCCTTCCCACTCTGTTATATTTATATTAACTGGCTTGTAAGTCGATAACAAGCTTTATTGCTCTCTTTCCCTTATCCTGAAGAAATCACTGTTGGAGAAACCATCAGATCTGATGTCACAGTCGCCATCTTTCCTATCGCTCACAGGCTTCTCTCTTAATCAGGTAACTAACAACTTTCTCTTTTTTTTCTTCTGGACAGCTTTGTCACTTTGTTAGGAGCATGTGTTGCTTTGAAGAAATAGCTTAGCAGAGCTTTAAACAAAGAGCCATTTCCAAGCTGCTTTGAAAGCAATAGAGATCCTCTTGCTTCTAAGACTAGGAACTGGGCTAGCCAGTGCCAGAGAGACGCGGTCAGGCAGCACTATCAGTTGCCTTCTGCAGGATGCATTGCCCACGATCTTTACTCAAGACAGGTGGCAAGTAATACCTAGATTCTACACCCATATGCTGGAAGGCTTCCGCATTGACTGGCTAGCTTCAGCAAGTACCATACAGTAGTCTAATAGACAATGTGGCAAGGTTAGCCAATCTGAAGTCTCTTCAATAAGTGAGCTTCCGGGCTGGCTTCCTGCTATGGACAATCCTACAGTGCTTACTAAAGTTAACCAGGTTGAAAGACCTTCAGAGCAAGCACAGGTAGCTACAGGCTGGTTGAGATCAGCCAGTGCTATGGGAATGGATCTGTCTACTGTGTATGTGTGTTACTTAGCTATTTATTTATACATATATACATACATACATGCAACCATAAGTACTTGAACGTATATGCTGGAAGGCTTGTACCTCCTAACAGTAAACATTTTTTTTTAAAAAAAGAAAAATATTACAACATGCATTCAGACTAAATCTGTATGCCGCATGAGCAATTGCCTATGATTAGGTAGCATCTTTTACCCCAAAGGTTCATTTTCTCTCCTTTCTGGAATGTGATCAGAAGAGCCATCATAACTTCATGGGGTTGGTCATTCCAGAGCAGAGGAGCTACTGCAAACAGGTTGTTCCTGGACACTCTTTATGCTAAGTTCTTGGGGGTAGAAATTCTTATTCTGTCCTCTCAACCAAACAGAGGCCCCGCAAATAACAAGGACATGAGCCATAAATCATTGCAAATTGTTTATACTGATAGTAGTTAACTCTGTTGGTCTGAACCATTTTTTGATGGAAGGGAGAGCTCTCATGTTGGAATATTCCTCCGTACAATATAGTAATACCATAAGATACAAGTAATTTTAGACTGTAACTTCCCTTGTAGCATGCTAGTTCTCTCTGGCTGGAGTTTCATGGTGTGTTGGCTATGTATGCATAACACAGCACATTTTATCCTTGTAAGCTGTGCATCCTATGTGGTGGTCAGACTCCTAAAACAGCTTGAAGATGCCCTGCCAATACAAACTTATGTGAAAACTAGGCACAGTGCCTGTGTATTTTGAGGCATGATAGTGGTGTGTTCAATTGCCACGTCTAAACAATTCAATACAATATGTGTTGTCAATCAAACAGAACTAAATATATACTATCCTAGCACATTTCATTTTGCTTTCTTATTGATTGACTGACTGACTGACTGATTTCCACACAGTTTTAATATATGTTATGAATAAATGTTTACAAATCAATTGTCTGGTATTTGTTTTGCAATCTGATTTTTTAATTTTGACCCAGTATAGAATGGGTCAATGTTAGAATGTTATATGGATTTTTTTTACTTTTTTGTTTTTCATTTAAGAGCCAAGAATGGTGCATAGCAGTATTCCTTATTTTAGCTAGGTTATATCTAATCCCTCATATTGTGTCATTTAAAATAGATAAATATCTCGTAATATGCAAAAAGACCTTTGGTGTTTAATATTAATTACTGTCATTATTAAGCTAAATGGTTTTTGGTACCTTTACTGTAAACTCTGTAACAATCTGAAGTAAATCTTCTCTACTTCAGAAATATTGGATAAAAGCAACATTGACGTACCCACTAATACTACTATACTGTACTAATGTATTGAATTGGTCTGGTGTGGCCCAAGTTGATTCCTTTCTTATCCCTGTGCTCTTTCTTTCAATTTTATAGGAAAGATATCCAAACAGCATGTTCAATGAAGTGTATGGGAAAAACCTCAATGCCAGCACAAAAGCCGAAGTTACACCATCAGTAGCTCACCAGGAGACTTCACTTTATTCTCTTTTTGAAGGTACTCCATGGTCTCCATCTCTTCCAGCTAGCTCAGGTGAGGCCTCCAACATTCCCTTTGTTGCCTATAACATGTAACCAGAGGATAATGTGTGTACCACTTGCTCAGCAAACCGACACTCCTTTCCATTATTATTGTAGCAACATCATAGAACAGCGATGGCGAACCTTTTAGAGACCGAGTGCCCAAAAACTGCCCCCGGTCCACCCCCTGCCGTGCCCCTGTTCCGCCCCCACACCATCCCCCACCCCGCCTGCCTGCAGGGCCACTCACCACCTCCAGGGCCCACCACAGATTGCCCAGGCAGCCCAGCAGTGCCATGGCAGTCACACCGTCTGCCCGCACTCTGCAGCATCAACTGTGCGCTATGGGGTGTGAGGGCAGAGTCTTGTCTACGCTGCCTGGCTGCCATGTCCTTGGCTGCGCTGCTCCACGTGGGCCATGCTCAGGGGTGACTCCTCCAGGGGGGCTGCTGGTGAGGGGGTTGTGGGGGGAGGCGAGGCTGGGGCAATGGCACAGAGAGGGCTCTGAGTGCCGCCTCTGGCACACGTGCCATAGGTTTGCCACCACTGTCATAGAACATCAACTTTCCGTTGAATTGTTCAGCAAATATTACACTTTTCCTTTTCTAAGTAATTTTCCTTTCAGTGTCGGAATACACCTGCTCATTATGTTTCTACATATATATGTATATGGGTGCTCGCTCTCTCTCTCTCTCTCTCTCTCTCTCTCTCTCTCTCTCTCTCTCTCTCTCTCTCTCTCTCTCTCTCTCTCTCTCTCTCTCTCTCTCTGTGAGAGAGAGAGAGAGAACTGAAAACCTATTTGCAATCTTTGTGATATTCCTAGTGCAAAGAAAACTTGGTATCTATAACGCTCACAGAGTCCAAAATCATGTATGCGTTTCTTCATTAATGAATAAAAGTGAGTCCAAATTTTAAATTAATAAAACCAAAATCATGCATAAAACTAAAGAGATTAAATCAGGAGATCACCAAGCTGACTTTTTTCTAAATTGCTGTTCCATAGATCATTCAACACCAGCCAGCCAGTCTCCTCACTCCTCTAACCCAAGCAGCTTGCCAAGCTCTCCTCCAACTCACAACCATAATTCAATTCCATTCTCCAACTTTGGGCCCATTGGGACTCCAGACAACAGGGATCGAAGGATAACAGATCGATGGAAGACAGATAAGCCAGGTGAGTGGAAGGTCTTAGCGTCAGTTTAATTTCAGTGGTTTTCAGGGATACTTAACCTGTTACTCTTGCTCTTGTTCAGCAATGGGAGGCTTTGGCCTGGACTATCTCCCAGCAACGTCGTCCTCTTCAGAGAGTAGCTGGCACCCAAACAGCACCCATAGCGGTACCTGGTCAGCCCATGGCCCGTCCATAGAGGATTCATCAGCTGTGCTTATGGAAAGTCTGAAGGTGAGCTGCATATTGACTCTGTCCCTTTTTTTGGTCAGGTTATACATTAAATATGGCAAAATTCTGAAATGTTAATGATGTATCCTTTGCAATATTTTTCTGATTCTTGCCATTTGGCAATTATATTGTGATCTATTTGTCTGTGAAGTATGTACAGTTAAGATGTAACTATAGGTACTTAAGTAGTCCTTTAGTTACGACCACAATTATGACCCCAACTTCCATCACTAAGCATGCTCGTTGAGTCACTACATGAGCGTGCTTGGTTTTTTTTGCTGTAGTTGTTCAGCAAATCAGGCTTCCCCCATTCATTTTGCTTGTCCGAAGCCACTGGGGAGGTCACAAATGGTGATCAAACTGGCCCAGCATGTTTCAACTGTCATAAATACATGTCAGTTGCCGTGTGCCTGAATTGGGCTCATGTGACCGTAGGGATGCTGGTATGGTCGTAAGTGCAAGCAAGTCATAAGTCACTTTTTCCAGCACAACCATAAATTCTAATGGTTGTGAAACAGATGGCCATAAGTCAAGGACTATCTTATCAGACTACCTTCAAGTACCCAACATGTTTATTGCACTTATCATTTGGATATGGATAAACTGTGGTGGCAAAGCATTTAAACTCCTAACAAATGTATTTTATGACGCTTTTAGAGTAGGTTCAGCCACACTGTGCCAGGAAGAACAGTAAGTCAGAGATAGGAAAAGCTAGAGAAGTTAGTGAGGAAATAAGCAGTGCCTTGAGATATTTTGAGTATTCTCTTTTTATGCATCAAGATTCCAACTTCATCTTATGGGATGTTTGTTTCTTCGCTTAGTCTATCTGGTCCAGTTCTATGATGCATCCTGGACCTTCTGCTCTGGAGCAACTGTTGATGCAGCAGAAGCAAAAGCAGCAACGTGGGCAAGGTGCCATGAATCCACCACACTGAGAACAAAAGAGGTGGCAACCTTTGCAATCGAAAGCTCCATACATCATGGCATGTTGGGTTTACAGGACTGTCCCACACAGTTCTGTGCGCGTGGCAGCCTCTCTTCTGTTCCTCGATGTCAGGAGGGTGTAAGTGCTCCACCAACCCACTGAGTATGCACGAAAATGAATGCAGTGCAATGGAAAACCAACACCAGGAACTCTCCCATCCCACCAGGGCCCTCTGGAGGGAGAGAGGGACTGCTGTTTATCTCACACGGTAACCTGATATCACCGCCTCTCACCTTCTCCATCGTGCATGTGCCCAGCCATGTGGGAAAATAAAAAAGATGGGAAAGAAGAGCAGATGGAAGAAGCCACTGAGAACTTCTCAATCCTCTTCCTCGGTATTGGGGAACCTCATAGGAATCTATTACCTATAGCTTTGCTGACTGAGAATGTAGTTGAAATTTATTCCTCAACGTCTAAATTTCGAATTATTACTGTCTCAGTAGTAAGATCACACTGAATTCTTCCATACACAAATGTGCTTTGTAGTCAGTGTGTAGCACCCCTCGAATCACTGGTCCAGCCAGCCAGAGTTGGGTAGTGGGTAAATTGACGGAAGGGCAGGCGTCTGGTCTCCTCAGTTAGGTAAGGAGTTTCACGAAGGAGAATTTGGTCCCTCCGGCGTCATTTCCACCTCTTCTTCAAAGGTCGAGTCTGGACAATTGTGAATGGGTTAAGGATTCCAGCAGTACTCAATGTGCAGTGGCCACTGCCAGCCCTCTGTTCAGGGCAGCACACTGCTGCTATGGGGTTTTTAAGTTAAATGGTTCAGATTCCTGTACATTTTATGATAGCGTAGTGACCAGTCTGATGAAATGGCAAAGCTGGTCTGTGCATTCACAGCCTGACTCCTTTATGTAGGTAGGTAGAAGCTTTCTGTGTCTTTTTTTTTTTTCCTCCTCCCGGCCCCTTTTTCTAGCCTATCCCAACCCTGCTGGTTGCTTGTAGTTCTGTTCTTCATATGCAGCATCCCACCAAATTCTAGCAGGATAGTGGGAAGCAAAGGAATTAGCCTGGACAGGACAATGTAGGCAGTCTCTTCTGCCAGTAAGTAAATGTCCACAGAATGGAAGCTCAAGGCAACAAGATGCCTAAGAGAGGGAACCCATGCAGTCAGCTATCAGTCCCACTTGTTCCTATAAGGATGCAGAAAGGATGGGGGGAAGGTTGAACTTGATATTTATTGAGCAGAAGGAAGGCTGCAACTCTTCTTACATAGGAAACAAAGGACATTTCTTTCTTTTTTTTCTTACCTTTTTAAAAAAAAAATTTTGTTCGTTTGTTTCCCGGGGTACCTATGGAAACAATCTAAATGTTTTAAACTGTTGCAGATGCCGGAGTGTGTATGTGTATGTGTATCAGTTCAGGATCTGTGAACCACAAAAAACAGCTGCAGAGCAAAGCACATCCGGAGTCCACAAGTGACACTGGAGTTGGGGAACAGCCCCAAATAGACTATATATATAAAAAAAGAAGCTGAATGAGGTAATGCTCTCTCTAGGATAGGAATTGAACTCCCTGTGCAAGCAGTGTTGCTGCTCTGGGTTATATTGCTTAAAAAAACTTTCTTTAGAAAACTTTTAAAAAAACAACCCTCAAGGATGAAGTTCTTGCCCTAGTTGTGCTTCTTTGGCTCCCTGCCCCCTCCCAAGCCAGCTTCTGCCCCCTGTCCCTTTTCCCAGGTTTGTGTATTTGAGCTGTGCACCCCAGCAGCTGCAACATTCCAGTGTTTGAACAGCCACTGATTCTTGCACTCTAGACAACCTAACCAGATTCATGATCTCACACTCTCCACAGTGCCAGAATCCCGACCCATCGGCTCCCATTTCTGCATGAGAAATCTGGTGTTTGGAATGTTCTTTTTTTGGGGGGGGGGATCTTTTAAGGCAGGGCTCCCTTCCCCCATCCACCCTTTTACACACACGCCCTGCTGTGGCTAGAACCTCAAGGGAAGAGGAACCCCCAGCAGAGGAAACTGGTTTGTGTCGTAAGCTTCTTTTGTGTTTTTGTCTGTCTGTGCGAGACCTGCAGCTGCTGAACTCAGCTTTGCCTTTAATTAAACCATGTTCTCTACAGCCAGCCTCGTGTAGTAACATTTCTTTAACCAATTATTTCTTGTTGATGAAACTCAATTGATTTCTTTGTGGCAGAGGATATCTCTACTAACAAGTAGAAGGGATTCATAGAGTAATGCATACAGCAAGTGAAGTTGAATAAGACAAAGCACAGTAAACAAGGTTGCATCTTCTACATCAAGGAAAAAAAGCTACATACAAGCTATGTTGTATTATTTCAATTACCGAGTGTGACAGAAGACTTGGCAATGTTTGAGAGACACACACACACTTAGTACTAAATGGATTTCTAGAGTTGGATAGCTAAGGTTTGGCAGACTAAACTACTACAAGTAGTAATCCTTTTATTAAGGAGTTGCTTTTTGTGTTAATAGTAGTTGAAAAAAATACACATTGTGTTTTATAGAGAAAATAACAAAACTACATCTTTTGAAGAAGTCCTGGCAAAAATCAAACACTTGAACATTGTACTGCTTTTCAACAACCTTAAATGTAATTTTATTTGAGTAAAACACTATATAGCAGTTGAGCTAATGAATGAATGAATGAATCATTATCACTTGCTAGAGATGGAATACCTTCAGATTATGCTTTTCCATCATTCTAGCTCTCATCTAAGATTTGGCGGTTCAATCTTAGATTTGCACATGTACCTTTGAAGGGTACCTTTGAAGCAGAAATTGAGGCAGCTGTAGCCTCTCCCCTTTTTTCCTCCATGGCCCCTTATTTGCTTCTGCTATGCAGTACTTAACATTATTTGCCATAACACAAGGTAGCCAAACATTTTGAGATCTGAAAAATACGTTTTTCCTATGTTTGGACATGATGACTCTATAGACAGTAAAGAACGGTGCCAGAGATGGAGACTAAAATACTGCTATTAAACATGGATCCAGTTGCAAATAGCTGCCACTTTAGGTAAGGTATAATAATAGGAAAGTTATAAATGATAAGCATTTAAGCATAATGCACAAAATAATAGCAAGGGGGGAAAAGAGCTTCAACTGGCAAGGAAAAACTTTGATATAATGAATGAGTTGCTTTGAAAAAATAATGATTTTCTCAGTTCTTTGTGGGGCTTCAACTTATTCTTCAGAGATATTGTCTAGATTTTGACTGTGGGATTCTTCAATGAATGCTTTGGGGAAAATGCCCACTTTCCCATTGCACATGCCTTCCAACCACTCTTCATTCACTGTAAGATAAAATAAGATTGAATCGTAAGCAGAAGGATGAATGGGGAAATTCAATTCAAAGATGGGTGCTTCGTGTGGAATTCTGCAAAAAAATATGTGAGAAGCCTTTGGGATTTGGTAATGTTATAAATGGCTTAGTTATGGAACTCTCAGTAATTGAACCATTAAAATTGAAAAGACCCAGGAAACTACAGACCAATCAGCCTAACATCAATACTTGGGAAGATACTGGAAAAAATAATAATAAAAAAAACAGATCTGTGAACATCTAGAAACAAAGTTATAATTAATAGCACGGGTTTGTTAAAAACGGATCATGCCAAACCAATCTTATTTCATTCTTTGATAGAGTGATTAAATTACTAGACCAGTGAAATGCTATGGGCATAGTATAGTTAGACTTCAGCAAGGCATTTGACAAAGTAGACCTACTTCTTCGTAAGCTAGAAAAATATGGGATAGACAGCATCACCACCAGATGGATTTGTAACTGGCTGACAAACTGTACTCAGTGAGTAGTTCTTAATGGTACTACCTCTACATGGCAGGAAGGAAGCAGTGGGATACCACAAGGTTCTGTCTTAGGCCCAGTACTCTCCAATATCTTCATAAATGACTTAAATGAGGGAATAGAAGGCGAACTCATCAAATTTGCAGATGACATTAATCTGGCAGGAATAGCCAACACCCCAGAAGACAAGCTCAGGATCCAAAAAGATCTTAACAGACTTGAACAATGGACCCTATCCAACAACATGAAATTTAATATGGAGAAAAGAGGTTTTACACCTAGGCAGGAAAAACCAAAGATACAAGTACAGATTAAGCTCAAAAACAATAACTGAGAGGGACCTTGGAGTCCTAGTGGACAATCACTTAAACATGAGCCAGCTGTGTGCAGAAGCAACCAAAAAAGTTAATACAATCCTTGATTGTATAAACAGGCATAGAATCAAAATCATGTGAAGTATTAGTACTGATTTATAAAGCCTTAGTAAGACCATACCTGGAATACTGCATCCAGTTTTGGTCACCACATTACAAAAAAGATGTTGAGACTTTGGAAAAAGTACAAAGAGGGCCTGGAGACAAAAACATATGAATAGAATAGAATAGAGCTGGAAGGGACTTTGGAGGTCTTCTAGTCCAGCCCCCCGCTCAAGCAGGAGAACCTACCATCTCAGACAAGTGACTGTCCAGTCTCTTCTTAAAAACCTCCAGTGATGGAGCACCCATGATTTCTGAAGGCAAGCTGTCCCACTGGTTAATTGTCCTCACTATTAGGAACTTTCTCCTTAATTGCAGGTTGCTTCTCTCTTTGATCAGTTTCCAACCATTATTTCTTGTCCTGCCTTCTTGGTGCTTTGAACACCATGAACAACAGTTGTAAGAATTGGTATGGCCAGTCTAGAGCAGAAGCCCCCAACCTTTTAGGCACCAGGGATCAGTTCTGTGGGGACAGGTTTTTCGGCAGACTGGAGGGGGCGTGGTTTCGTGTGCTGCCTGCATCCTGCGGATGGAGCTTCACTTGTTTGCACAGCCCCATTTCTGGCATGCCGCGGCCTGGTACCAGTCCACAGACCGGGGGTTGGGGACCTCTGGTCTAGAGAAAAGAAGGACGAGGGGTGACATGATAATAGTATTCCAATATTTGAGGGGCTGCCACAAAGAAAAGGGGGTCAACTTATTTTCCAAAGCACCAGAAGGCAGGACAAGAAACAATGGAAACTAATCAAGGAGAGAAGCAACCTGGAATTAAGGAGAAACTTCCTAACAGTGAGGACAGTTAACCAGTGAAACAGCTTGCCTTTAGAAGTTGTAGGTGCTTCATCACTGGTGGTTTTTAAGAAAAGACTGGACAGCCACCTGTCTGAAGTGGTATAAAGTGTCTTGCTTGAGCAGGCGGTTGGACTAGAAGACCTTCAAGGTTCCTTCCAGCTCTATTCTGATTGATTAAAATGCTGTTTGAACTTTTCTGTGAGGGAGAATATGGCTATTAAAGGATGGGA